AATCTCACGGGATTTAAGTGTCTCGGATGCATCCGACATAAGAACCTGTGACGATGCGGAATTGCCAATATTTACCTGCATCATTGTATCGGATTCATCCGAGTCTAAAATCAGTTACATATTTGTGCACCCGCAATTTCTACATCATGTCTGATTGGTGACGGGCAAGGCTTGTAGTCCGGTTGAAGGCTGGTTGTGCACGTCTAATGTCAAGTCCGATATTTGCCTGCGTCGTTGCGTCAGATTCATCCGACTCTAAAGTATGTTACATACTTGCGGGCCCGCCATTTCTACACCATACATGTGAAATCGATGAGGGTGAAGGCTTGTCGTCCGGTTCAAGGCTGGCTATGCATTGTCTTTTTGTTTTGTTGCGCTGCCCTCTATAGTGCTCCCCAACTGGCGGACGCATCTCTGTCGCTTTATCATTGCCAAAGTCCAACAACTGTCTCAGTTGCGATTTGGGTCAACGTCTGTTGCTCTGCTCACAGGGAAAAGTGGAATGCTTCACTGGTGTGATACGACGACGGTCGATCAAGACTTCCCTCCCACGCCAGCTTGCCTTCCATTACGTTTTCGGCAGGAATTGGCTGGGAAGGGATTGGTTATGGGCATTGGAGTTCCGAGCAGTGCCGATAGTACTTCTTCCCGACTCGAGCCATGTGCTTCCTCCGGAAAACCCTCACGTGACTCAAACACTCGACATCGACGGAAGAGAACACAGTTGTTTACCTCCACCGCGCATTCGTACATCTGTCGTAACGTGCTCGAAGACCACAAAAACAGTGGAAGCGGGGGCCAGTTTCTTAGTGTCGAGTGTACATCCAGAGTCTCTTCAGCATGTTCTGAAATGACCGGAGATGTCGATGGGGGTGATAGGGTTTCCTCGTCTATCCCTTCGCAGTGCCAGGAGAGTCAAGGACCGTCCACGGATGGAATCACTGAATACTGCTATTCACGAGACAGTCAAAGTTCGCGCGGCCTCTCCAAAGAGGACCGCCACATACGGTACATTTTGCCGGCGCCTATGCCCGGTGAAAGAAGACCCTATTCTATGGCAAACAGAGAACCGGCCAAAAAGACACAGCATCGGCGAGCTATGGCCAAACTCGGGATGCAGTCACTTCAGGCAGTGCGAGGGATGCTCTGTTGTAGGCGGATGTGTTGCGCTGAACTGACAACCGAAGATGTCAGGCTGGTGTGGGAGGCATTCTTCTCGAAAAGTTTCGCGGAAAGGACGAAGTGGTGGTTGCAAACCATACATGACCTCACGGTTATGGAAGGTGGTGCTGAGCGGGTCAGGCCTGTAGCTTGCAAACGGAAGATGTGCGTGCAGGCGTACTGTAACATTCTCGACATTTCTCGTAACACATTCTATGTCTACAAAAGGATGTACGATAACAGTGTTGTCGTTAGGGAGCATGGGCACTCGGGCTTGTCTAAACCATCCGAAAAAGTCGTCACGATGCTTGCACTGTTGAAACGATTCATCAACGACCACGCCGATAGTATGCAGAATGACATGGTCTGGAAAAATGGAGTTTGTCGTCCTCGCCGTAGGATTCCTGCGGCATTCACAAAACGAGCGATTTACGAATCATTGCGCTCTGATTTTTTGATGTGCCACTCAGAAGTTGTGTCGGAGTCGACTTTCTACGCTATGTGGAGTAAGCACTTCTGGCACGTGAGTCTAGCTATGTCCAACACATTCACAAAGTGCGCAAAATGTATATTCTACAAGCAGTGCATTGCCAAGTCGAAGTACGAGAGGGGCCGTAAGAAATCCAAAGATAGGATGCAAAAACATCAAGAGCTGCAAGTCGACCACAGGCTAGACTATAGCCGCTGCAAAATGGATTCCATCTTGCGGCAGTCCGAGTGTCTGTGCATCATTATTGACGGCATGGATCAAAAGAAAACTACCATACCACATATAGGACAGGCTAACTACTCGAAGGACTTGTACCACGAGAGGATGATGAAGACTAGTCTCACGGCCGTTCTGGTCCATGGCCGGGATCCGTCTATATATCTTTACACATATTTTCCTTACTACACGCACGGTCCCAGCAGTAGGGCGACGTGTTTAATGCGAACTCTTACGGAGATCCAATCTAGTGGGAAACCTCTACTGCCGTTTCTTCGTATTCAAGCTGACAACTGCTTCAAAGAAAACAAGAATAGATTCATCTGCGCATTGGCAGGACTTCTTGTGAAGTTCGGGATTTTCAAGGAAATAGAAATTGGTTTTATGATAGTTGGACACACGCACACAGACGATCCACGTTTAGTGTTTTCTCCAAGAAACTCAAGGACAATGATGCCTACACAATGGATGAGTTGTTCCTTTTGCTAGAGCGGTCCCAAAAGACACCTCCGCGGTGTATTTTTCTTGATAGGATAACAGACTGGAGAGGTCTTATTTACCCGCATGTTTCAAAGCGCATGACAGGGATTTCGAAGCCACATTTGCTTAAATTCTACATGATAGGTGATAATCCCGCCATCTGCTATAAAGAGTATTGCACAGATGCTAAGTGGTTGCCCGAGGATAGTCCTCTTTACTGGTTCAAACAAACAGACAACGGTGGTTACGCTGGTCCGCAGCAACCTTTCGATTCTCTGCCGGTTCAAACGGCGTTCCTCGACGATTACAAGAACGGTTTGGAGGGTGTGAAGAGGTTTTTGGAAGTCTATGAAAAAAAAAGATAAACTTGGATGACTTTCCGAGACGAGGAGGTGACTAGAATAGATAGGGTTTTTCGATTTTGGGAAGATCACGTCAAACACGCGGGGGACATTATCGACAACGGGGTGCCTTCGACACCCATCATCGCATTCTGGCCAAAGGTCACCCATGTCGTTGAAGACAGGAGTTCTTGCTCTGATTCGGATGCATCCGAATTACAGTGAGAACCTCTATTCGTGGGTCTTCAGAAGGACAAGCCTAAGGCCAGCTTTGATCCTTTCGAAGATGTGCATGTCGACAGTTTTGTCATTATACAACCGTCAGACGAGGACATGCATCAAGGAGTGTCTTTTTGGGTTGGCTAGGTTCGCAGTGAAGTTGACAAGAACGAAGATTCGCCAACTTACAACCAATTCAAAGTGGAGTACTGGGTTCCAATCAGAAAAGCGAGCACACTAAGAGAATTGTATGCTGACGCCTGGGAAAAAACATGAAAAAAAGCTCCAGGGCACGAGGAAGAGTATCAACATGTCACAACCGTTGCATTTTCATGGATGAGACAAACGAGGACGAATGTCTGCGAGTCCTCCAAAAAGTTTACCACCGGTCTTGTGATTCCTCTGAAAGTAAGAAAAAATGCAATTCCCGCCCTAGAAAACGGCGTTGGCGCTCAAACACAAAGCGTTTCCGGAGAAGGGAGCGGGCAGGAGGCTACCTCATCGAGAGTGTGATGGTTGTCGTCTTTTCGTGAGGAGAACGTATTGCCATGTAGGCCTGTGCACACCACGCTTGACTTCATGTAATACATCGCTTAATGATTTTTGCTCTCTGGGTTACGCGCTTCAAATCAACAAGAATTCTTCATCAATTTTGGACATTTAGCGTGGGGGCGTTTTGGTCGTCGTAGCATGACCTCGGGCTTTCGATCCTAACCTTGATGTGACGCTTTTATTGTGACTTTTGTCTTTTGCAGTGTGCAGACTTTCCTCTTCTGACGTACTTCGAAAACATGGATGAGATTTTGGGCAACATTGAAATAAAAGTACCTGAACGACTGATGATCATCACAAAGGGAGGAGCGTTTCCTTTTCAATATGAGAGAATCTTCAAGATCGTAGCGGGAGGACGAACAATGTTTGTCATTATGGTGAGGTTTACTGATCTCAACATTTTCGCGCTCGAAACTTGTGCTGCGACTACAGCAAACGTGTCTGTTGTTTGGATTGGGCGAGCAAAAACCAACTAAAACTCACGACGACGACGATATCCCCCGTGATGACGCACAGATTATAATGACACACTACGGCAATCGCGGGGAGGTCCGGTGTGTGGTGGGGCGACAACAAAGCGAAGCGCCTCGGCGAAGTCGGATTAATCCGAACCACACCGGTGGCATTTTCGGATTTACCACATGCGCAGAGGGTATTGACGACGTTGCACGGTCTGATAAACTTGTACGTCGAAAGCACACGGTGTCGGCGCAGCTTGTCGTGGTCGCACGTATCGGGACAGCCTCTGTCGAAATCAGATAAATCCGAGCCACAGACGTCTTAAACACTCAAGGATGAAGACACACCGTGCGAAATTCGGTTGGACCCGACGACAGCTGGGGAATAACGGAAGCTTGGATGGCTGGATGGGCGTCAACAGACCGTGGGGTCCATCCACCGGTCCCGTCTCGGATTAATCCGAGCCACATTTGCGAAGTTCAGGCTCAACCAAACCCAACCTCCGGCAGGATAGGTTTACCCCAGTGTTCACAGGTCGGTGACGAAAACACGTGCTGTAGATGACCTCTTGTGGACGACCGTCTCTGGACCGCGCTGTTCGAATTCAGATGCATCTGAGTCACAACCGTTACCGTCTCAGAAGGACAAGAAAACTCGAGTTCGGTTTCATACGGGCCGAAAGGGGGTGGTCCACACCGCTTTGGAGCTCGGATTCATCCGAACTACAACGGCGGACTTTACAATCCACTTGTCGACTTCGGATGACAACGTATTCGTCTTCGTCTGCCATATCAGCGTTCTAGGGCCTTCTTGCAAGGTGTTGCTTTTCCCGGTGCAGGTGCCTATGCGACATCGGTTTTTCGACTGCGCCTGCTTCGGATGTATCCGATCTATCCCGCGGTCTTCGTTTTCGACCATTCATTCTCTTAAGGGCAGTGTGATGAGGATGCCTCATGATGCCTCGGATTCATCCGAAACGTGCAGGCTTGTAGACCACTGTCGTCTAACTATGACTGAACTTCGTTCTTTTGGAGTCCGGGTGACCGATAACAGAATACGTGCTGTGAGTCGTGGTTGATGTTGGGACGTGCTGACTATTCTGAGTGAATGTGGGTTCATTTCCTCCGTGTGTTTCAGGGAATGGCTTCACACGGACAAGGCTGCTCCGCTGGTGGTTCCGCCCCACATGGAGAGGAGCGTCGAGGGACGACATCGTCGCCGACAAGGAAAACGAGTCGGGGAGTTGGAGGTGGGGAGGAAGAACGACGTGCTCAAAACTTGTGGTGCGACTACAGCAAACGTGTCTGGTATTTGGACTGGGCGAGCCAGGACGGCTCGTGCAGGCCGCTCTTGTTCGTCGCCGTTCGCGCCGACAGAACGCGTCTCGCATGGTCCATCGTCCAGTGGGTCGACGATGGCGAATACAATTTCAAGTTTATGTTGAAGAAGCATTACAGAAGTGATGGTTCTGTCGACGGCATCGCAAAGGGATGCAAGGTTGCCGGGAGGATGTTCGGCGGGTACGGCCGTCGTGCGATGTCTTTGCCTCACTTTCTCCCGCTAGCGTCGGGGCACGACGAGGCCGTTCACGTCACAGACTTCCTCGAGGTCTGGGCGAAATCTAGTACCTCTGTCAGTGTCGTGGACGTCGGAGCTGGAACATCGAACAGTGGTCCTGTTGGGTTCACGGGAGGAGAGTGCTCTGAAGGGGGGATGGGAGGTCAGGGTGACCTGCCAGCTACGCCTCCTGATCAAGAGGTGGGCATGTCAGACAACTCGGAGTACGACCATCCGCTTGCTCCTTTGAAACCGGGCTTGCATGTATCTCGCCGCCACGGTTTGCTTGGGGAGTCGACGCCACATGGAGGCGGCGATGGCGAACGGTTGCGACAGGGCTCAGAATCGACGACTCCTCGTGGTCTGGTCGAAAGGATAGGTTCGTTCGTTCGTGGCATGCAGGTGGTCGAGGTTTCGCCTGGAGATCGAGCGGGTGGTCCGCAGGTCGAGAGGTGCGTGGGTCAGATGAGACAACTCGCCGGGCCCGACCAGCGCCGACGCAACTGCAGACGGAGTTGAGCCAGGAACGAGAAGCAAGAGGGAACGTCGCCGTTGAGGAGGAGGTGTCCGAGCAGGGTCTGTTCCGTGAGAGATCGGATGAAAAGACTCAGTCGGGAGGCAAGCTCAACTTGTCGGATGAGGAAGAGCGAGAGGGACTAGGTGCTCTGAAAAGGCAGAGAAAGGTAGGAGGGAGTGGTCGGACTCCAACAACACAAGAGGGCGGTTCCGTTGAGAAGAGGAAAAGGGTTGAAGGTGGGGATGAAATGCCAAAAGACTCGTCGACACAGCAAAGAACCAGTGAGTCTTCCGGGAAACGGTTGAAATCATCGAGGGGGAAGAAAGCAGACGAGGGCGACAGTGGGGAGGGGGATGACGACGTGGAGATTAACCTCAACGCATTTAACCTCAACAATGCGTTCTTCCTCGAGATGCAGAGAGGGGTGCAGAAGGACGTCGTGTTGCACATCCATCCCGAAAGAATATTAGCTATTCCAGACTGGGAAGACGCGTACAACCACCGATCCTTGGACGAGTTCCTCGTTGATACCATCGCGTCGGCTATGATCGACTGCTACGAACGCAAAGACATAAGATACACGAAGCCCATTTTCGTTCTTGCTCCGATCGTCGTGCCTCCAGAGAACGGCGAGCCTGCTGTGCACGTGCTGCCTGCTGACTTCGACAGCTCACACCTAGAGAAATATTGGTATTATCCTGTGTGTGGACAGCATAACGTGAGGGCGACGATGATGGTGAAAGACCATCCCGTGTTTAATTACTACAACTTCTGTAAATGGCCGTTCAGACCGATCTACTTCCCTAACGACGAGTTCGACGGCTACGCCCATGTCAGCTGCGAAGACAACATGAAAGACAAGAAGAATCCACCGTGCTTGCAGGTTTTGTCTATGCGGGACATTCGCAATATTTGGAAAATTAAGGGCAAACCGAGTGTGGTGCTCGGCAATGCCTCGAAAAAAACAGGACGAGGTGCGAAAGTGGGTGCGGTTCATGGCGTTGGCAATGAAGGAGACGCCGTACATGCCTATCTGGAACCTGTCAACGGAAGCAAAAAAAAGAAAGGAATGGGCTGAGAAACTTCGATACTACCTCCCGCTGGCCATGGCAGATGACTCCGTCTTCGCTTTGGGGTTGAAGTTCTATGAGGAGTGGTCGAAAGGGAAACTCCTTGCTTCCGACGGCCGGCGTTGGASTGAAAAGCCGCCCACCCATGAGGAGGTGGCCAAGCCATGACTCTCCACTGTGACTGACAGCCAGGGGCTAAAGAAACACGTCTGGTACGTGAAGGTGGACGACCCGTCGTTGAAAAAGGGCAGGGGGAAGCCAAAGAAAGGCGCGGAGGAGAAAACTTTCTACGTCCAAGTTCCGGAGCCGGATGTCCACTGCTGGAAGGAATTGGTGGACTTGACGGACCGCGAGAAGAAAAGGCTGCTGAACGGCGTCTTGAACCTTAACGTCGTGTGGGTTCAAACGAGTAGCAAGAAGTTGGCTGAGCAGGGGAAGTTCAGTGTCAAGGAGAGGGTCGACATAATAAAAATGGACCGGATTATGCTGAGGCTGTGGCACTACGTGGAGTTCGAGTACGAGGAAGTGGATAAGCGGGAGTGGAATGCCAACTCCACGTTCTTCAGGTCCAAGAAGCAACTGTTCGAAAAGTTCAAGGACAGAGGTCTCGACGACAAGCTTTGAAACGAGAGCAGGAAATTTTTCACGGACACCACATACGTCAACAAGTGCCCTCAGTTTCTCGGGTGTCAACACGACAACAACATCAAGAAAACGGCGACCCTCGTCAACGACCAGCATTTCCCGGCGGAGTGGAAGCATGTCGTCCTTTCGGTGATCACTGGAGATCGCGCCAAAGGCAAAAAAGGCCCTCGGGGCGTTGATGAATGCATCAACATTATGTGGACAAGGACAAGCGCCTTGACGACGCTGGCCCAGTTTAACGTCGACCCATTGAGTGCCCTAGATCATAAGGAGGCGCTGGGAAAACTAGGGCATCAGCTACGCTCCCACACTTGCGTGCTCGACTTATGCGGTATTGTGGACCGTGCGCAATGGGACTCTGGGGCATTCGCGTCTCTGAGTGAGTTGCTGGGCTTCGTTTGTCAGGACTACTGTACATTGGTGGTATTCGTCCCCTGCCTGTGGAACCTCTCCTTCATGACATGTTTGTCTGCGCTTGGGGCTACCCGATGCTACACGAGGAAGTGGGTTCGGAAGACGGCATCGAAGAAGACGCATCAGTTCGGAAACAGCGTCTGGGAGGAGCTAGATGTGATGCACATCCTTTTCAAAGGCGAGGATCCTCGGCTAGTGACTCACCCGGTGTACGAGGGAGCTGTTGCTGAAGACAACGCCGCCACTCTCCGGAGGAAACAGAAAGTGACACCCACGGATGTGGAGGAGAAGTCTTTCAAGTCYTTGACTTTCGCGGACATCGGAAACCTGACCCTGAGGGGGGCTCTGTACAAGGACGGCGAGCGGAATCCGAATCAGTTGTGCAATCAGCTTCTTTTCTTCTGTGGTGTGGCGGATGCCGTGCTGTTCTTGGGCAAGCCGCACRCGCAGGTGGTGTGGAGTYTGCTTCAGCAGGGAAGGCAYGTCTTGGCCGTGGATGGGGACACAACGCAGCTCGAATACACCGTGCAGTATGTCACCCATGAASTGTCGTCCAAGGCTTACCCATGCGATTTCCACCATGTCGTGGTCGAGCCCGTTTATGACCCGAACAAGGACATGTTCTTCAAGTTGACTCCAAAGAAAAGGCGCCAGGTCTACTTCTTCCTTTACGGCGAACAACCAAGGTTGAGATTTGACCCGCAGTACGTGGTGCGGAAGGAAGTCGCCATTGCGGTCCTCCAGGGCTACCACGAAGCGAGTCGGGCCGGCGCCGTGAGTTTCATTAAGAGGCTGGAATATGTCTTTTTTAACGAGGATGTTGTCGATCCGGCCGACTTCACTTTGGATAAGTACACGCTGGCATTTGGTGAGGAGGACGACTTCAATATCGAGACTGAGTCGGAGGAGAGCGTTAAGGACGACCTCTTCGATTTGGACGGGCAATTGGCCATCTTCAACGCCCAAGTTTCTGAGTTGCCATCAGTATGCAAACCGGGGACACCTCTCGCTACACCTACCTCGGGCGGTCCCACGCCCATGTCCTCCTTAGCGCTTGTCAAGAGGGGTGGGTTGTCCCATCTGAGGAGTTCGCCGGGGGAGCCTATTCGTCTCACGCCGCAGCCCGAACGTCTTCGACCCGGCCATCCAGTTCCTCGGGACCATCCGCATCTCAAGGCTCCTACCACTCCCTTCCACATGGGCGACAAACACACCTTTTCCACAGCCGAAGATTGGGGCCATGATATCGTATGGCACCTAGACCATTTCCAGCCAGTCCTTCTCGACAGCGAATGGGCAGTGGCTGTGAGGGACGTAAGTGGAGGGTGGATATATGACGATCATTGGGACCTCGAGATATTCGAATCTTGCACCTACGATGCGGTATTGGAGAGGTTAAGTGAGGTCAATCGACGAAGTAAGGACGACCCTGCTCTTCGCGAATACGGGGACACGCTGTTCGAGTTATTGCAGTCAAATAAATGGCTGGAAGTGTCCTCCGCGTTCTACGCTGTTCCGTCAAGCCCGTCAATTAAGCAAGTGAGTTGGGAGTTGCCTGAGGTCACCCTGCCGGCAGGAGTTATGAAGCGCAAGTCTCGCGGAAAGGACGGCGACAGGGATGGTGAAGGCGGCGGGCAACGAGATACTAGAGGTGGAAGTGAACAACGTTCAACGAAACAGCGGTCTCCGGGGCACGTAGGCGGCGGGGAGGGGAAGAAGGGCAGCCGGGAGAAGAAAAAGCCTCGCAGCGGAGAGAAGACGAAGCATCACAAAGGAGACGCGCAGGGGTCCGATGTCGACCGCAACGAGGACGGTGGGGTTCTGGCGGTAACAGGCAGCACCTCAATGGAGACGGGGAACGACTTGAGGCCTGCGTGTATTATGCGGCCTGGTGAGCAGGACCCTGTGATTAGCTCCACCAGCGAAACACAGTTTGTCGATGCGGTTGGCGGGGCGGGTGTCGCAAAGCATGGAACATGCTTCGCTCAGCTCTAAAAACGGTTGGCGGATTGTCTCGAATCAATCCGAACCTCGGAGACGACGTCATTGTCTGGAACTCAATGCCTTCCGGGAAGCGAGACGACAACATACCACGGGTGCGGCAGCGACAAGCTGGAACCGTGTTCCGTTTCGCCTCAAAAGGAAGTTGGGATTAATCCGAACCGCGAAGGCCGTGCCATCGAGGGAGCACAACTGTTTACAGAACTCGAACGGGTGGTCCGGGTTTCCGAAAACCCTGACGACGAAATTCGGATTCATCCGAACTAGGAAGCCATGTCTGCCATGACAGACGATCGGTGTCAGGATGCAGTATTGCTGTGCGTGGAAGCCCACAAGGAGCTGCAGGCGGACTGTCCGACTGAGGGTGAGTTGGCGACCAGTTCCAATGTTGAGCCCAACACACCCGGAGCCGAGTTAGCAGTCGTAAGCGACTCCCCGGTGAAAGCGGTCATGTCGGCGTCATTGAAAACTGCGGGGGCTCAGATGAATCCGAACCAGGGCCCTGTGAACATGTCAGGCACACGGACGAAGGACTTCAATTGGCAGGCGTTGAGGGTTGTCGACTATTGACGACTTTGGACATGGACAATTTCGCCGACGACCGGATTGATCCGACACTCAGCGACGTCGGGATCGAGTTACCAGTTCAGCCGGGATACGACGATCCCTTGTACTCCGCCCTTCACAACGAGGCAATGAAAGAGGACGTTCTGAAGAAGGCCTCTGATGCTGTTGGAGATAGATTTCTCTATTTGAGTGACGACGACAAAGACACAGCGTACGGGGACAAGAAGTTAAGGGGGGGAGAGGTGTTGTTGGACATCCATGGGACATTGAGCCCAACATAATACGACACAGTGGCAATGGAGAAAACACAACCTGTCGATGTTGTGGACGTCGACGCTCTTTGTCCAGAGACGAATACGGTCATCGACGCCGACATCTCGAGCCTGTCAAGTTTCCCTGTGGGTTTGGAGCACGTCGTCGCCCCGTCGACGCGCGCAGGGGTGCCAATCATGTTGGGACTGCCGTCGGTGGGCTGTGGTGAAGTGGTAGCTAGGCCGGGTAAGCACTGACTTTCTCTGCTTTCTTCCCGCTCGTCAGCCCGTTCGTGAAGTGTTGTTTGCTTCGTCGATTTCGGGGAGGTGTATAGGCGGCCGCCAACTGGATTGTGACGATGTGCTTCGTGAGGTGCTGTTTGGTTGGTTGCTCTTGCGAAGTTGTGTTGTTGATCTCCTGCTGAACTCTCTGGGTGGCTATTTCTTGTACAGGTCGACGAACTTGTGGACAAACACCCATGTCGCAGGAGCCGCCTGCCCTCGCCAGGTTGTCAGTCCTGGTTGCGGGAGGCACTGGTCGTCGCAATGTCACTGATGCGTTTCCTGGGGACACTAAGCCTCGAGGCCCTCCCAGAAGGGTAGTCGTGCCCGTATTGGGCTCCCGCACAAGACTCGTTGCAGAGGCAGCGGGTGTTGCCTAAAAAGACTGCAAGGAATTCCTTCTCGAGGCTTGCAGGGATATAAAGGACAGTGCTAGTTTAGAATCAACTGTGTGTAGAAGGTCCAGAAGTAGAGGTGACGTTATGCGTGAACTTTTCGGACCACAGAGTAGCGGTTCCTTGGACCATGGCCGCTAGGACGACATTTTCTCATAGTGCCCCGTCCTTTGTGCTTGCTGTGTGCTGCGGGTGTTTGTTGAACAGGGTTTCCTCGAGATGGAAGAGCGGTCCTTGAAGACGTTATCTGCTCCCGGTTGCCGCTCACTATCATCGTCGCGCGTTTGTCGTCGCACAGTTTACAGGTATCCGTCAAGGACATCGTCGCACTCGTGGATAGATCCGGGGAGCTCAACGATGAGGTTGTCAATTTCTACATGGCGATGCTACTGGAGTACTGCGGCCGGACTGCCGCTACCATGAAGACATACACCTTTAACTCCTTCTTCGCCTCTTCACTGCTTCTGCGAGGTCCGGCAGCTGTTCTCAGATGGGCTAAAGATGTCGACCTCCTGTCTCATGACCTCGTCTTGGCACCAGTGCACAAGGACGGCGAACACTGGAGCCTTTTGGCCATTGACTTCTCTGGACGTGTTTTGGAAATCTATGATTCTTTCTCGTGTTCGTTATCCAAAGATTCCTTCTACTCCGCACTTCTGGATAAAACTGTTAAATTTTTGAATACGGTGGCAGGTGCCGCCGGTGATGGTCGCACTTTCGACCACTTCGCTCTCGAGGTTAGCGTGAAAGGTGTCCCTCGGCAGCACGACGGGGCTAGTTGCGGGGTGTTCATGTTGATGTTCGCTTCCTGTTTGGCGAGAGGTTTACGTCCACCTTTTGGTTTCTCCCATAGACACATCTCCTCTATCAGAGCTAGACTAGCTTTGGCGATTTGCGATGTTGGTAGGTAAGCGTCTATCTCTTTGTTGATCATGTAGTGTAGAAGGGTTGACGTAGAAGAACATTTCGTTCTTCTCCAGACAAAATTTGTTCCTTTTCATTTTTTCTGTGAGGGACTGGTGGGTGTTCTCGGTTTGGTTCAGAGCAGAACTGGCTGTCACTGCCAGGATATCTCCAGGTGAGCTTGTCATGTTCCCGTCGTGTTTGTCGTCGACAATATTGTTCTTTCTCATTGGATTTCAATTATCACGAACGTCCCCGTTGTTGGGGCGCCTGTTTCGTGATTGAATATCTCGCTTTCGTCATTTTGTGCCTTGTGTGGTGTGATGTTCTGCCCGCATACTCGGATGCATCCGGACTCGTACTAACTCTATGCTTTTCTGCCTCTCTCTCCAACCTCCCCTGTCGTTTACACTCATCTATGCATTTTCACTTTGAATGTTGTGAGGCGTCACAGAGAAAAAAATACAACACACGGACCTCTTTATACATTTGATGGCCCGTCTGGCCCTCCGCACTGTGTGCTTTGTGATTCCGACATTGAATGCTGTCAATTCTTTGGCCCGACAAAGCTCCCCTTCTGCACGAGCATTCATACATTCGGTTCCTATGCATTACCCAATACAATGAAAAATTTGAATGTGTCGAGAGGGAAAACCCAAAAAGGCGACGCCAATGGCTGCTCGAATGTGACGAGATTTGAATTAAGGTGGCGCGGCTGAAAATACAATTGCATGATTGGACAAAATTGGATGTGGTGACGGAAGGATAAATCACAAGGCGAAGACGATTGATACTACAAAGTGACACAAACTGAATTGAGCTGACACTCATGAACAAATAACCATTGCATGATTGGTGAACGCCTCAATTTCCGAAAAACGAATTCAAGAATCAACTCTCTCTCTCTCTCTCTCTCTCTCTCTCTCTCTCTCTCTCTCTCTCTCTCTCTCTCACACACACACACACACACACCCACAGCTGTGTCTAGTGCGCTCATTTGCTGTTTGCTTCGGACTGCCTTTCCCCTGTCATCTCGGATGCATCCGAACTTGGCTTACTCTCGCCTAACGAAAACCTTGCAACTCTTGTACAGCTACACTTGTGGTTTTCACGTGTTCCTTGAACATGCGTCTCCTGTGCCACGTCAACATGAAAAGAAAATTCAGTGCGATCATCCACACTCTCTCTGTCTCTCTCTGTGTCTCTGTATATGTCCCTGTCTCTGTCTCTATCTCCCTCTCCATCTCTTTGACGCGCTCTTTCTATCTCTGTTAGCTCTGTCTAGATCATAGCGAAGCGACTCACAGCCGAGACACTTCAGATGGATTAAAAATGTGGTGGATGATGGTACAATGTGGTGGATGATGGTGGATACTTCTTGAACTGTGTCCCAAAAAGCACAGGGGAAGCTTCAAACTGAAGGGTCTATACTAGTTCGATGATGGTGGATACTTCTTGAACTGTGTCCCAAAAAGCACAGGGGAAGCTTCAAACTGAAGGGTCTATACTAGTTCGAGACTTCGGATACGTCCGTAACACGAAATGTTGTGGGTGACTATACGGTGCTTGTCTTTTCCATCTCTCAGCCCTCTTACGTGCTAATATGCCATTTTTTACGGGCTTCCTCTCTGTCAATCTCCTGTGATCTCGGATATATCCGAACTTCGCTTATCTGGAAAAATCACATTGCCTTGCTGCTCTTCTGCAACGATCGTCTAAAATGCTTTTAAAAGCGAGGCTGATGATCTCCGCGTGTACTCGACCCTGCGCCGTCCGTGCGGCGTCTCGATAAAATTAAGTACAGTCTCTCTGAGACACTCTGTCTCTCGTTTTTTTTGTCTCTCTCTCTCTTTCTATATCTCTCGCTCTTCAAATGTAAACGACCATTTATTGTGGACTTCCTCTGTCTGTCTATCTCCTGTGATCTCAGATACATCCGAGCTTCGCTTATCTTGGAAATTCACATTACCTTGCTGCTCTCCTACAACGATCGTCTGAAATGCTTTAAAAACGAGGCTGATGGTCTACGCGTATGCTCGACCCTGCGTCTCCTGAAAATTAAGTACAGTCTCTCTAAGACTCTCTGTCTCTCGCTCTTTCTGTCTCTTTCTCGCTTGCTCTTTCTGTCTCTCTCTCTCTTTCTATCTCTCTCGCTCTACACATGTACACGATCATCGGTGCAGAACTCCAATTTATTCTGGTCCTCACACTTCTAAATACAAGTCATCCTACTCCTCTAAGACTGTGAAGAGCCACAACTCATTTTACTCACAAACTCGAGTTTGTGTCATTATACTGTTCTGATTCGGATGAGTGGGATGCTCAACTCCAAGTGAAACTATGACACAGTGTAATATATTACTCTGTTCTGGTGTTCCACATCTGGACACAGGAGATATATGTATTGAGGCAGCAATACATATAACACAGTGGTAGCAGATATATGTACTGACTTAGAGGCGTATAACACAGTGTATACTCTGTTGTGGTGTTCCACATCTGGACACATCCGAACCACGAGAGGAGCGCAACAGATATATGTACTGACTGTGCTCCTCGCCTCAAAGCTGATTTTACTCCTTGTTCGGATGTATCCGGATCTGGAATACTACACCAGACTATACACTGTGTCATAAAT